TCAGCAATTAGTAAAAGTCCATAACCCTCTCCCTTTTCTGATACCTTGTCCCCCCTGATAATTTACAGTACAGTCCCTAATATATTGTAAATGCCAAAAGTGCAGATCTATACTGATAAAAATCCCAAATAATCTAAATCACAGCTGGCATGAAAAGGCCAAGGGTAAAGCTGCAGCGAAAATGGTGCAACAAATTTTTAATACAGGTCAAAAGGTGACATTAAACAGTTCACAGTGTGGCACATAACAGTGGCAGCAGCCTACAGAGCTGAAAGAAGGGCTGTAAAAAGTATTTACAGTGGTGGAATGGGGTTTTATGTTCACCCCTCCACTGGTCTGGATAAGTGCCTAATCAGAGGCTCTTCACAGTAGAAAGCTACATTCTCCATTACACCTCTTCACTGAAGCACACTGTAGATTAGCTTTAAACAGAAATTACTTTTAAACTGCAAATTTGCTTGCGTGTCCCCAGAGGGCACTGAATATTTGTATTTTCAGCAAACATATCTTCAATATGTAAATGAACTGTGCCAGACTGATTCATGTTTGTTCTTGGGGTGAAAAGGTTGAAGAATTCATCTAATTGTATCATCAGCAGAATTACAGAATTTTATTAGATGAGAAGGGGGGATCATGACATGGATTTGTAAACACTGAAACAGGATTAATCAGAGATTAATGATAGGTGATGTCAGTATCTGTGCTTCTATGAATGGGAGGGAGAAATCTGCACAAAATCTGGGACAGAAGATGAATGCTGGCGTGGAATCACACTGAAAAATGGGAAATGATGGAGCAAAATGGAGGGAATAGGAGAGACAAGCAGAACAAGATGGCTGAGTGGGTAGCACTGATAGAAAAGGTTGTGACTTGTGATTAGGGCAGGGAGGATGAAAGGAGTCAGAAGAAAGAGAGCAGAGATGGAGAATGAGTCGGGCTGATTGGTTTCCATGGTAACTGCTGATGAGGTGTGGGGCTAAATAAAAGAGCAGGTCCTTCTGGCTTGGTAGGGATCACTGTAACATTTCTCTCTTTCTCTCACACACACACCAACACATTAAATGCTGAGGGTGTGGAGGTACATGGCTGATAGACTGTACTGCACCTTTCCTCATCACAGGCCGAGAATGAATCAGTTTCAACTGCAATTGCAAGGAACAGTTTGACAAGAGTCAGATCCAAGAAGTCCCTGCGTATGGCCATTAAATGGGACCAAACGTGACCCTGTTTAAATCACAACATATCATTTTTACACATTGTTTTATGTAAGGTTTAAACAAACACGACATAACCTGTTAATCAGTAACAGAGGTACGAGGTTCTGGTAGGTACATTTTGTTATCTTTGGACAGAGCCAGGCTAGCAGTTTCCTCCTGTTTCCAGTCTTTATACTAAGCTAAGCTAAGCAGCTGCTTGCTAAGCAGCTGCACAGACATGAAAGAAGCTTATTCCCCCAAAATGTCAAACTATTCCTTTAACTTTTCTTGCATATCCCCCATAGCGCCTTCAGGCCAAAAGCCAATTTCTCGAATTTTAACTTATTAATAGTTCACTGACATTGCTCCGTACATTTCATTGCACTGAAGCAAGAGCTGTGTTTACTCTGCATATTACAGGCTGTGTTCATTATTTTTTATGTGAATACTTTATTTGTTTTTAAATTTAGTTTTTCTGTTCTCTGAGTCACTTCGGGCCATAACCTGATCCAGCACACGCAAGGACAAGGGGAACGCTCATGTAGCCATCACGGGGCTAACACGGATAGACTGACCATCTTTCTCACTCACATTTATGGCTCTGGGCAGCTTGCAGTAGCCAGAAACTAGGCTGCATAAACTCCTGGCAATCACAGAATATGCAGAGAGACCCAGGAATCAAACCTGAATCCCCTCCGCTACAGTTCTGACAGCACTAACCACGGAAGCACTTTGCAGTCAACAATAGTAATCTTATTTAAGGCGGCAGAGTGGCTCAGTGGCTCACAACAAGAAGCTCTTGCAACTTCAGTTTGAATCTTGGATTCATGGGAGACATATAGGTAACATTAGGCATGTGATTCGAATTCTCTGAATCGCAATTGAGGGTGTGACTGTGGACGTGTTTGTAGGCCTGCAACAGACTGGCAACCTGCCTGCAGTAGTGTGTGTGTGTGAGACAGGGTGCTGGAGAGCAGGGAAGCAGAGAAAACAGTCAGCTTTATATTTCTGGACAGCATCAGCAGAACCAGTACCAGTATTGAGTATTCAAAGCCATCAAATGTAGAGTAACAGTGCAAAATAAATCATTTCTACTCTATCCTGTAGTTGCATGCCTGTACTTCTAACTGTCTTTTCAGCCTCGAACATTTTCACTTTACTATTTTGACCCCTTCAGTTGTAAGTTGTTGAGTTTTACACTCAATGCATAAAACCTGACTTTCCCTTTTTTTGTCTGCCAATAAAGAATATCCTGTCATTAACATCATGGTACTTAAGGTCTTTATTGAGTATAAGATCATTTCAAAGACGGTAACTTCAGGTCAGATTATGATATACAGCGAGACAATCAATGTAAACAATACGGTGCAATATAGGGGTTGTATCTTTCTAGGCATCTACTAACATCATATTTCAGATTTAAGAATTAAAGAAAATTCCATACAAGGTTTAAATTTGTTATTGGTTATTTTAATATATGCGTGAATATTACAATAATATATGCAGTGACAATAAACTGTTGTTATGCGTGCTCTTTCTCTGGCTTCCATGCACACATTCATGCTTTCATGTCTACAAGCAGAAGAAAACCTTGTTCACTGTCCTCCATTACAGGTAACGGCTGCTGGCCTCTTTTCTCTGGTCCTGATTGTTTGCTAAGGTTCTCCATCCCAATACAAATAGATAGAAAAACTCTCTCTCTCTCTATCATACACACACAGACACACATAAATGTAGAGTTAGCAAGGGAATTGACTGAGACCTGAGGGCTGAGAGCTGATGTGTGGGAGGCATATGGCGGAGTGGCCTAATGGAGAGCTTTTACAGTGTATTATAACCAAAGGGAGCTGTTTTTTGCAGACAAGCTCACATGGGAGGGGCAGGTTAGTGTAACTATTGTATTCAGGTCCATCTTTTGGGTGCAGGCACACACAGAGGTATAGTACAGTACAGTAGGTGAAGACTTTCTGAGGTGTTCAGGTAAAGGGCAGCTTTAATACACCCTCTCAGGTCATGATACATGTACTTACAGCCAACTGCAAGTACATGTGTATGTACTGTAGAAACTGCTGAATTTCAAGAAAAAGGCAGATATCTTGTTTAGCAATTATGTTGTTGTTGTTGTTGTTGTTGTTTCTTTAAAGTTTGACACTGTGGGCCCTCCCTCAGACAAAATTGATACCTGCATCCCCCAAATATATAAATATAAAAGTTAATATTAATGGATTTTGTAACTCCTCGTCCTACTATGTTTGGTCTTAAGAAGTCATTGTTTAAGTATTTGAACTACAGTTCTAATAATTTGGAGGGTTTGGGGGATGTATTTATGGATTTAAGGACATTTATTTGTGGCTGACCTCTGAGATAGTGACATTGGAAAATGTAAGTCACTGTGAATCTAAAAATATATGTGTATGTCTGTAGTTGAGTTATAACTCTATGAATTTTGACGCAATCAGGAACCACTCCAGAAACTAGGTATGTTCTAGATGACATTTATACAGTTTTAGGTTAGAATCTCGTTAGAATCAATTGTGAAAACTTGGATTCATTAATGCAATGGGTTAACAATGCAGACAGTGCATATATATCTAAAATACAGTCCAAAATACACACAGTTTGCTTTCACACACACTGACAGTATAGAAGTGAATCCAAACATGTAAATCCAACATGACGTAACATCTGCATCACATCATGACGCACCTGCAATGCAACACAAACAGCTTCCCTTATCTGAATCTGGTACAGAACAGTGCTCTGAATGCACGGAGACCTCCAGCAGAAAAGCTGATGGTTGGCTTACTTGAAGCCAAGAGCTTCTGAACTGCTTGGTTTGTCTAATTAGATTACAGATAGTCTGATTACCTCACCAGTTCATGCTTTTTCTCCACCTCAGTTACAATTTGGTGAAGGCCCTGGGACTTCCATTGCCCTCTGAGTCATCTGTCTGACTGCTCTCACAAACAATGCAGAGCATGCTGGATGAAGCGGTGTGTGTGTGTGTGTGTGTGTGTGTGTGTGTGTGTGTGTGTGTGTGTGTGTGTGTGTGTGTGTGTGTGTGTGTGCGTGCGTGTGCGTATGCGTGCGGTGCATTAGTGTGTTCCTATGAGCATTCTTGGTCTATCACAGAAAATGACCTTTGGCATGATCTGTACAACCCAGCTCCAAAGCCCACAGTACAGCTGCTGAAAATCCACTCTGTCTGTCTGTGCTGTGACATCCGCAACCACCTCAATGAATCATGCAGTTCACAAATATGCTGGAAAACGCTCAACACGCCACAGAACAACTGTAGCCACTTTGCAAAGCCTCAGCGGCCCCTGGTGCTAGAATAGGGCGGGATGTGTGACACCGAGTGGGAATGTCAGTAACAGAGGGCCTGTTTGCTGAGCTGTCCCAAACTCTACTGTTCAGCCTGAAATATTTACCACTGAGACTTGGTAGAGGAGAGGAGAGGAGAGGAGAGGAAAAGCAGGGGGGTTAGATAGAGAGTCAAATCTCAAAGCCATAAAGGTTTTTCCTCCTTGACAGGACAGGCAATTGAAGAGATAAATCATGAGTCAAAGCCCAGAGAAATAGGAAACAGGAACAGAGATAAGATAAGATCTATAAGACCCTCTCCAACTAATACCTTTAGGCTATTCACTCACTATTATTCCACATGAGCAAGATAAAGGTACTTGGTGAGGAGATGCTCTAAATGATGCTTTGAAAAATAAGAACTCTTTTTTTAATTCTCATGTTGAAATGTGTTGTTCACAGACACGGTGATAAATGCGATAGCTGGTTCATGCTTCTTACCTCCACAAACAGGAAGCAGGGGACGATGGAGCTGCTGCTCTTCACACCCGGCTTCTCCTCCACTGCCATTACTCTCTCTGTTTCTCTGAACGACCCTCTGTGCAGCTCGCTGTCTCCTTATCCTGAAGGACAGAGAGTTAGAGTTAGGCTAGTCCACTGGCCAACTTGAGGTCAGGTCCAAAGTGTGAGATTAAGTAGAATCCAACCAGGACAAATGAGCTTCAGATAGATCGAGGGCTTTCCTTGATGGGTTCTCTTTAGTTTTTCTTCAGCACATTGTCTCTGTGATAACTTTTTATTGTTTATTCATATGATACTTTCATGAAAATTTAAAACATGCACAAAAATTTAACTCATTTCTGTACACTGTGGGCTATGTGCATTCTACAGTTTACTGTGGCAGTCATTGAAATTAATTTACTTATTTTGGATTTTGATGCTTCATGTATCAAAGCTGGTGGAAGAACAAAATAATTTAAATAAATGATAACAGTGCACTCAAGTCTCAATACAACTTCCAAGTACAATCATTTTAACAACCACATACTGAAATATTGTTTGATCTGAAAGAAGTATACATACAGTATGTAAATCATTATAGCAAAGGCTTATATTACAGTCCATTTCAAAATGAAAGGGAAATAAGTGAAATGAACAGTCACACAATTCATTTACCAGCCCTCTCAAAACAAATGGTTCTAAAAACTGAAGACAATTTGCAGAGATAGTAGGCGTAATACAGTATTTGGCAATCTAACTGGTAATATACGAGCAAGACTGGAACATCCTAACGCCATCCAGGTGCAACAGGAGGCTCTCGACGGACCACTAAAACCTGCCGTACAACTGGTGTATTAAATGAGATTAAATGAGATTGTAATAACTTGCACAGCCAATAGTTGTCAGCCAACAATAAACATGCTAAAAGCTTAGCTTTCAGTTTTGTGGAGCAGTTTATACCTATACACCTACTTCAATAGCTTCCTTCATCTTACTTGTTGTCTTTAAGCTTAAGATTTAGTACGGATTAAACAAATGAGATACAACATGTTACTTACTGAGCTTTAGAGGTGCTGGTAGGTGGATTTTGTCTTTGTACATAGCCAGGCTGCCTGCTTCTATGCATTGGCTATAGGGTCATACTTAAAAGACATGAAAGTGGAATCAATATTCTCATATGACTCTCCACCAGAAAATTAGTTTAAATTAATGTGTTTCCCAAAATGTTGAACTACTCCTTTAAGCTGCAACATATTTCCTTTGGTAAGAGACAACTACACCTCACTGCATTTCTATTTAAACTGGAAGAAAAATAATAAGACAAGAGAAAATACACACATAAAAAACACTGACAGATAGATAGAGGACAAGGGCTTCAACACTACAGAGAACAAAAAGGAAGAACTGCCAGCAGTATGTACAGTGTGATCCCTGCTGTCACACTTTGCAAACAGTCTCAGAAGTGAGTAGGAGTGCTCAGTTAGATTTAGTGTTGGCTTCCAGGTTTTTATCCATCACATTGCTGAACTTGGAACACAAACTCTAACTGTTTTCAGAGGCTTGACATGGACCTTGAAACATCTGTTGTCAAGTTGGATAGATTTTAAACATACAATGTATAGAAAGGAGAGATGGAAAGAGGAGAGGTAGAAAAAAAAAGATTTTTTTGTTTCTGAGAAGTTGTCAGGTTGACCTCTATTCTGCTGGTGAGTGGTGTGTTGTGTGCAAGAGAGCTTTCTTCTTCCTAATTCCTTCTACGCTGGTGGAAAGAATAGGCCTGAGGGATGAATAAGGCATGAAGCCAAGCTCTTAGCAGCCCTCCGAACAACGCAATGTGCCAACCAAGACTGCTTTTAGAGAGGGTTGGTTGGACTCTGTGTGTGTGTGTGTGTATGTGCATAGTGTGTGTAAGGCTTGTCAAAAAAAAATGAAAAAAGGAGCTGTCAGGGTGAACAAGCAGAGGCCCCAGGTAACGGAAACCAACAGTGAGAGAAAGAGAAACAGAGACGCAGGGAGGAATCATTCCTGTTTCTTCTCCACTAGAGGCTGATGGAAAGTGTTACTTTGTGTTTCATTCTCTCAGTGGGAGGCAGCACAAAGAGACGCTCTCCCACAGTTTGGGCCACCGGCTGAGAAAGTACACGCATGAGCTGTGAGTTGGTGGTCTCCTGGAGATCAAACTGTGTTTTGGGAGAAACCACTCGGGTGGCCAGAAGCTTTTGATGCTAACAATAATGATAAGTGGGACACCAAGACAGGGAGGATTTCACCTAAAGAATGGGAATTATAAAGCTTGTTACATTTCCCATTGGTGTGTGCAGACTTCTGAGCTGTCCCACGCACATTTGGTGTAAGTGAACTTTTCTCAGAAGCCTTCCCTGAGTGCTGATTTGGGTGACAAGTTTGCAGCTTAATTAATATGAAAAAATCTGACCACTGCTCTGTATGCGGGCCATGGGAACTGATTTAGAGGCTTACTCATATCTTTGTTACCGTGCTCAAAGGAAATCAGGAGCATTAACATAAGCGTCATTTTCAGCTGCAGCTGTTTTTAGTTAAAATAGTCTAAAAACCCACTACCACCACTACCTGATGATCAGCTATAAACATAGACACAGTTAGCGACTGTTGGTAGGGACCAAAAACAGAGCTACAAGAGAGCGAATATTAGACTAACATTCATCAGGTGGCGAGAAACACAACTCCAAATGAATGCTAATGGATCTCTGTGCCTGCTGGATGTGTAAATAAGCAACTGTTAGCTAACACATTCGCCACATCAACTTAAAAAGTGATAATATGTCACTTGTTTCTGCTGCCCCCAAGTGGCCAAAGAAATGTGTTATTGCGGGTTTATCACAAATTCTAACAAATATAAAACAAGACACTGTGATTTAACAACAAGCTTAAAGTTTGAAGGTATTTACTGACCATCAACAGCTAACCTAACGTTAGCCACAGTGAGTGCATGCAGCTCTCCAGCGGTCCCATCCTTATAGCTTAAGCTAACAGGGGTTAATCCAACTCTGAACAAAACACAAATGACTCCTCTATGTAGTCTTACTAGCGGCTAATGTTAGCACGTCCGCTAGGTAGACACAAAATTTTGGAACTACTAGAACATTTATCCCATTTTGGTAGAGGCTAAACGCCCTACCCACACCTTAAGCCCCTGTGCTAAGCTAACACGTCCCAGTCCAGTCTGTCAACTGCACGCAGAGAGAGAAGCTGATATCAATTACTGGAAAGTAATCACATTACCATTACTAAGTAATGTGTTACTGCCAAATGCCAGTTACGCACTGATTGTGTGTGTGTGTGTGTGTGTGTGTGTGTGTGTGTGTGTGTGTGTATTTCAGTCACTATCAGGAAAGAGGAGGCAGTCCAGCTGGATTTGATCTTATCAATGGGAGAGCAAGTGAGAAGGGGCCTAATCTGATAGTCCATCTATCAATCAGAGAAAATCCAACTAACATGTCAACACAGACAGAGATGGGTGGATAGAAACACAGACGTGTGTAGTTTTGAGTGGGGAAACAAAGAAAGACAGAGACTAGAGCCAAGGAGACAATTACACAGAGACACACACCCACAACACACCAATCAGAGTAAAAACATGAGGGAGCTGAAATCAAAATGGTGGAGATGAGAGGAGCAAAGCGAGCTGCAGAGTTGAAAGTTGAATTAGCACCATCACACACACACACACACACACACACACACACACACACACACACACACACACACACACACACACACACATATATGCACACGAACGTCGAGGAGAGCAGGACATTTATTTAAATCCCCTGCTGCTCTGAGGACTCCAGTCAAAGGGTAGAGACCCAGGCAGCCATATGTCCTCTCTCCTGCCTCTGCAGTCCACCAACCTGCCCCAGGACATGCAGTACACAAGCCTGTGCATATGAGCACACACACACACACACACACACACACACACACACACACACACACACACACACACACACACAAAAAGGCTAATTGGGCACACAATATGGATCATGCTTAATTTTACAGTTATTTCTGCCTTGCCTCTTGCAGAGTATGATATCACATATTCCTTTATGCATAAATCCACATTTAATGCAGCAGTAACATAAGACAAGGTGCAGCAGCAATGCAGCGTTAAAATGCCAACTGTCAGTCAGCCATTCTTCAATTTCTGTGTGCCAGAACCTAAATATTCAAGACTTTAACTGCAGAACATTTTTCAGTGTGGAGCAGTGACGGAAATAGTCTCTTTTTTTGACCATTTACCTGCAGCCCAGAGCTGTCACTGTCGATCTGAGCAAAGCCTCACATCCCTCCGCTCTCATGTTGCTTTAGATTTTTTTGTTTTCTGTGTGTGCAGTGTGGCCATTTTTGCCCTGCCATTGTCACACCACTTTCTTTCAAGTCAGACCCCACGCTGTATCACACAGTCACCCCTATATTCTACATGCAGTGCAGATAGCCATACTTCTTAAGCACACACAGGCTACAACTACAAACAATGCACATATCCTGACACCTGAGTTGAGTCACAAACAAACAAGCAAACATCCCACTCCTCTGCCTATAAGGCATTCCCTCCCTACTATTAATAGCGTGAAGTCAAGGAGAGTAAAACCCTAATAGGATTTACCCAGTGCTGGATAATTAGGGCTTCTGTTTGGGGAATACCACCGCAAAACACAGAATGCCACAGAGAGACACTCCCCCACCACCCACCCACACACAACACACACACACACACACACACACACACACACAGAGGCAAACTCAAAGACCTGGGGAAGAAGCAAATAACAACAAATCAACTTAAAGGGCAGGATATGCAAAACAGTGACTTCCACAACATGACTGTTCTGTATTGGCACCCCAGGCAGGACTGGCTGTTCAAATGCATGGAGGAGAAGAGAGGAAACCTGCCATCCATTTATCCCTCCCTCCATCCTTACCTCGGATACCTCGTCGCCAAGCTGACGGTTGCCGTGGCACCAGATTCCTATGCGGTGGCCATGTCACATCAGATGATGGTAAAGTGGCGTGTAAATCTCCTTCCACCCAGCTGTCTGTCTCTCCTCTCTTCCTCTCTTCCTCCTCTTCGTCTCGTCCCTCTACTCTCCCCTGCTCCCTCTTGCTCCACACTGAAGCGTGAGAGACGGCAGCAGCAGCGGCAGCAGCAGCAGCAGCAGCGGCAGCAGTGTCTGTGCCTCCAAATCTTCCACACACACTCACTCACTCACACACTCTCACACACACACACACACACACACACACACACACACACACACACACACACACACTCACACTCACACACTCACCCTCCTTTTAATTAGCTTGTTCCAACAACCAGCGATGACTAATAAATTAAGTGGCTGAAATTACCTCCTGTGCAGTGTACAGTCCAATGAGGAGACACAGAGGAGAGGGAGAGAGGGCAAGAACATGTGTGTGAGGGAGTGAGAGTGTGTTTCTGAGAGAGACAGTGATCGAGAGAGAGAGAGAGAGAGAGAGAGAGAGAGAGAGAGAAAGAGAGAGGGGGGGGAGGGAAGGGGGTGGGGGGGCATGCATTATGTGTGTCAGCTCATTTGTATTCAAAGCTTGTTTTCCCTCTTCATCCCTCCCCTTCTCTCTCCCTCTGTCCATCTCTCCCCTTATCTCCCTCCATCCACCCTTTCCTTCCTCCTCTCTCCCACTCTTTCCCTCCCTTCCCTCCTTCCATTCCTCCTTCCTCCCTTGCAAATGGACGCAGAGGACATGAACCTGACCCAAACATTAGAGGAAAGAAGGAGGGATGCTGCAGACTACGAAAAAAAAAAAGAAAAGAAAGAAAGCTGCATCTGTGTGTGTTTGTGTATGTTTGTAAGACTGCTCAGCTGCCTGCCTCCAGCTCAACACTCTGGATGTGGGCTAATGATATGTGGCTATTGATCTAGCACTCCTGGAGCACATGTAACATCACAAGTCAGGGCTGGTAACATAGAAAAAAAGGTTGGCCAGACTGGCTGGACAGTAGCTGGTTGTGCTTATGTCAGCGTTAAAGTGGATGAAAGTTTGGAGGTTTGTGCAGGAAAAGGGTCTGAGCTGAAACCATCTCCGGTCATGATGAGATACAGAGGAGAAAGAATTAGCCATTAAACCAATTCATCACCGTCTGCTGTGAAACTGCTGAGGGCACACCCTGCTATTTAAAACTATGCCAGTTGTGACGCACTACTTCTCTGTAGACGGTCGAGGCAATGCAATACTGATAGCTGCACTGTCTACAGCAGTGATAACAAAAGATAAGGAGGTTGCCCTGGATTTATACTGAATGAAAGCTTTTTAGTCGAACTAGCAGCGTGGCCCTAAGGGATGGTGCTTAGTTTAAAGACCTCCATGGTTCCTAGAGGATGAATCCTAATAAGTCTGGTAATCCCTTAACTTTCCATCTAGCGCCATCATCAGGTCAACATTAAGACTTTTGTCAAACACTGGTTTGAAATCTGGTTTATGACCAAATACCTTGAAAACTAATGACATTCTCATCAGCCTCAGCTGTACTTTGTTGCTAACACGTTAAATGAAGATGGCCCCAACTACAGCCCCTCACACCCCCTACTCCACTAGTTCTGGGCTGGTACTAGTGCTGGTTCAGAGTTGGTTCAACTGGTTTGCTTTTCCACGGGCTAGAGAGCCACTATAGAGCCATGTCACTGTATACATCTCTGTAAGCTACTGTTACCAACATCAATGTTACTAACCTCGAACGTAATATTAAAGTTATGAATGAACAAAGCACTGATGTGAGGAATGAGTAGCTATTGTTTGTTACGCTTGTTCATGTTAGCTGACCAACAGCGAGCTAACAAGCCAGCTAGCTCAATGTCACGTTGGTAACGTCAATGTGCAAAACAGCTGATAAATACATAGATGGCTGGCCACAAGGCATCCCCAGCAACTTTTGTAAATGGTTTTTGGTTCTAGACCAGCAAAGTCTTTGTGCCACACTGGAACCAGTTTCCCTCGCCAAGAGTCGGTTCTGTGGCTGTTGAAATGCAAAAAACTGGTGTGAGATTAAGACCTGGCTCCAAACCAGCCCTCAAACTGCTTTGGTGGAAAAGGGGTAACAGGGACAAACATGAAAGGAATAGTTAACATTTGGGGAAACAAGCTTATTTACTGACTGATTTACCTGTAAATACACAACAAATCTTTAATTAAACAAGTGGCATAAATATTTTATTGTAATTTCTTAACAACAGAGCAAATTGGTGTATTTTCCAAAAACTATTCCTATAATCTCAAAAAAGGAGGAGAGATGCTTTGTGTCAGATCTATGTGTCAAAACCATTGTATATATAGATATATGACTTATACATATTCACTACAACTTCTTAAACTGGAAATGAAAAAAAATCTTACTCTAATCTTACTCACTTATTGCAAAGAGGATGAAATAGCATTGACTAACTCTGAGCTTGACCTACATCACAGAGAACCTTAAGTCACTGAACCAGCTACGGAGATTAAAAATAACATGAAAGAACCCAGGAAAGTGTGCCCCATTTAAAATAATAAATCAGATCTGGTCACTTTTTGCAAGAAGCTTTGATCAGAAACAAGTTATTTAATCTTCCTCATCATCACCAATACACTGCATTATCTTCTTTTGTAGTGCACACATTAACAGGAGGACAGGTGGCCTCCTGCAGTTCAGAGAGACCCAGAGGTGCTATGGCTCCAGCCTTGCCCACTCTTCATTAATATAGCATTAGCTCAGAGACATTAGTGGCCACTAGCCTTTTTTATGTGCACACAGCTTCTGATCTATATTTTATGAATGATAATACATCATGAAAGAGGCAAAGAACACCAATAACCGCCAGTGACTTATTTTCTTAGAATTGTGAAATGGAAAAAGTAACTAAAAGAAAGGAAATCCACATAGCTGAAACGTAGAAATAACCTAATAACCTTCTGAATTCAGAATCCTTTATCCTCAAGGAGTCAGGGAGAAATCAAGTCAAATTTTTTGGTCCCTAAATAATATCAATGAAATTCATCGCTATTCTCTGTGATGCCCTCCAAATCACCACTTCAATATGTAGGTCCCACTCCCCCTCCTCCAATGCTGAGCGTGCTGTCCCGCCTCTGACTGGGTCTCAGTGGGATTGTCATGGTGCTAGATGAGATATGGTCAGAGCATCGTGGAAATGAGAAATCTGCCTGTTATGGGGCTGTTATGGTTTACAGCACATTGGATGTCTGTCCCATGGGTCTACTCTCCTCCTGGTCATATACCCTGCTCCATCTCTCTGTCCAACCCCCTCTCAGGCTGCTTGCACCATCCTCGAGCCCTACAATAGAACCCCCACCCCTCCCTTACTCTGTCCTTGACTGATGGAAAGAGAAAACTAAGAGCGAGGGATATAGAAAGGCAAAAGGAAGGAGGTTGGATCTGAAAAAGAACTTGCTGAGCTGTGCCTCCTGTGTGAATTTGTTGTTACCACGGAGAATTTGCCGTTGCATACAGAAGCGTGCACAGAAAACACATTTAGTTAATGGGACGCAAGTTATATGTATGCATTAACACATTTACTCATTCATGCACATGGCACAACCATAAATCCAGTAATGCTTGTAAACTGCGCACTGCATGCATGCATGAATACAAGCATCTACAGGAAACTCGGTACAGTTGGATGCTTTCCTTTACGATTCCTGCATACTAGAGCTGTACATGCCTGATTTAAATAATTCACACAATCAATTTACAGTCAAATTAACATCAGATGGGTATTCATGTAAGAAGTTCGGTCAATGTGATGACTCTGGCGCTAGAAACACAAAAAGCTACTCAGGATTAAAAAATGCTTTAAAGCTGTGTAAAAGTACAGATGAAAGTACTCCCTTTAAGCCCACCCATCATGTTCTGTGTGTGAATTTTTATCAACTTTAAACTGGGTGTTATTTAACACTACTAACTGTGTAAAGCAATAATGTTCTCATTTAATTGAACTCATGTTTAGGGCAAGTTTGATCAGGCATTTACCAAAATTCCAACCATTTATCTATTAACTTTAGTTCAATCAATGCTTAAAAAGAAGAGTTTGACATTTTCTAATTTGTTTAATGCGAACAAAAACCAAAAATGCACACATTTCATAGTTGAATGCTCCAGACTGCAGGAGACAAAATGGGATACATGAGCCCAAAACCTTAATATCCAATTTCAAGCCCATCACATAAACACACACCTCACGACAGATACACACATTACCCCCTTATTACCACCACACATTATTCCCGCACAGCACTTTAAACATACCAACCCCCTTTCAGAGCACACACACACACACACACACACACACACACACACACACACACACACACACACGGCCCTGTATCATTATGCCAAGAGCTCCAGCTGTGGTCTATAGGGGCAATTCATTAATCAGCTCGACAACAAAGGACCACATTCCAACACTATCCGTTCTCCTTTGTCTGGACCTCCTACTTGAGCCTGTGCTAATTCTGCCAGTTAAACACACAACAAAGCTCCTTTTGCTTATTCTCCAACCAAATCATCCCAATTTCATCATGTGTATCTGTAGTAATACTTACTGTTGTGTAAACAGCACTTTAAGTCTGTAAAAATGAGTCCATATTGAAAACAAAAACAAACAAATCAATGGACTTTAGCATCTATACGTAAATGCTAAAGTCTCAGTTTAATGCGATTTTATCTTCAGAAATGTATTTTATAACATAGTCTCCTGTCTCGGGTTTCATCATGGGGCTGTGCTGCTTCATGCTAATCATAAGGAATTCCTTGCTGTCCTGGAAAATGCCATTACTGACAGACCATGAACACAACAGCATGAGAGCAAGGTTCTGCAAATATCAAGGGGGGCCCTACAGCAGGTGTTCCCTTCTTTCATGGTGATTGGAAAATAAATTCCATCTCATGTGATTTGATTTCCTGAGCTGCAGTTGGCTATTATCACCCCCACCCCTTTACACAGGATCCACTGGAGTGGTCCCTTGGTCATGTATGCTTGCTATAAACCCCTCAGGCACCGAGGGAAATGATGCATGTCATTGTGAACACACCAGATGGGGTCCTCAAGCAGAGAACAAGGAGGTAGAACAGCAATCCTTTCATAATGAGATGTAAATGGAGGCGACTCCAGGCTGGGGATGGTGACAGGGAAGCTCATTTCAATGGATGACAGTGCAAAGTAATGCAAGTGACAGGTAGCAAACCTGCTTGAAAATAAATCACATTTGTGAAATTAGGCTGAGGACACAGCCCTTCGTGGACTGGGACCTATTATTAGAAAACCACCAGTCAACACTGAAGCGTCTAAAATCAATATTTTTACAATAAATCACATGACTGTGATAGGACAGAGGTTGCTCAAAGTGATGAACTCACAAATGATCACCTGAATCTGTTGTTCCTTTCCGCTCTACAGCGCTTCATACA